TTTTTTTTTAAAGATTTTATTTATTTATTTGAGAGGGAGAGAGAGACAGAGAGCACGAGAGGGAAGAGGGTCAGAGGGAGAAGCAGACTCCCCGCTGAGCGGGGAGCCCGATGTGGGACTCGATCCCGGGACTCCAGGATCATGATCTGAGCCGAAGGCAGTCGCTCAACCAACTGAGCCACCCAGGCACCCCACTGGGAAGCTTTTAATGTGCCTCTGACTTCCTAGGCACCAAAGGTGTTTTGGTTTAGGCAACCTCTATAAATGCTTGTTAAAGGAATGCACATTTTTGTAATTGAAGAATAAAATGCAAATAGCAAAATCTGCTTAATACAAGGACATAAAATATACTTCAAAAGCCAAAACTGGGGGCGCCTGGGTAGCTCAGTGGGTTGGGCGTCTGCCTTCGGCTCGAGTCATGATCTCAGGGTCCTGGGATTGAGTCCCACATTGGGCTCCCTGCTCAGCAGAGAGCCTGCTTCTCCCTCTGCCTTCCATTCCCCTGCGCTCTCTGACAAATAAAATCTTAAAAAAAAAAAAAAAGGCCAAAACTGGTAAAACTTAGTTTGCAAAATCTGGCATTTTTACAAATCGGGCAGCTCTTGTCATGTAAATTAAAAAGAAAAAAAATGAAGCCAGTTATCTGGACCAATGCTAAGAACAACTGTTAAAAAATATCAAAATAGCCCTAAACAAACAATTTTTGAGAAATTGAATTTAGAGTACCTAAAGACTAATTTTTTCCCATCTGCATGTGGAACTACTGCTGTCATTATTTAGATAAGTAACTCAACAAACCCAAGATACTCTCCAGCTCCTTACGTGTTAAAAGATAACACATTTCCCACTAACAATCGTTAATTTTTCAAACTCAAGTTAGTTTTTTAACAGACTTATGGGTGGACTGATTACTCATTCAACACAATGGAGGGACACTGTTCTAGATGCTGAGGACATGGCACAGAACAAAACATCCCTGCCCTTATTATGAAACTTACATTCTAGTGGCTGGTTGAGAAAATTCTGTGGTTTCTTTCTTATCACTTATTCTGCTTCCCCATACTTTCATGGCTCTTTTACATATGTACTATTCAAATAGACTTCAACAGTTTTAAAGTTCAGGCTTGTATGTACGCAAGTAACTGATTTTAGACCAGCCCTTAAACAGAACAGTTTAAAGAAGCAATAAAGGACTTTCAATTAGTAAAAACTTCACTTCAGATAAAAACCAGAACTTATTGGGCAACGTAAAATCAACTCAGAATTTTTGACAACTAATATTCCTACTCAATCACTTCAAAAAGGCAGAAAAAAATTTTACTTTATCCTTGTCTCTAAGTATTTCTAAATTTTAAACTTTAAATTCTATTTCTGAGCAGCAGAATATTTTTTTAAACAAAATTTCATGGTAACTATAAACTTGAAATGTGTAAAATTCCCACTGAAATAGGAAACACTGGCCAGTCCCCATGACCTTAGTGCATGAAATGCCTCCAAAGATACTTCAGAAACATTTGAAAGTCACTGCCCTAAGTAAATGTGCTATCTAAAAACCTAACAAAAACCACAATATTTTTTAAAGTATTTAAATAACTCCAAGATTCCTGTGTTGTATAATATACTATAATTCTGTGAGACATCTGAGAAGCACAATTTCTCTGAGCCTTAATTTTTCCCACCTATGAAATGATGACCTTACACTACAATACATGATTGTCTGTCAACCCTAAAATCGTGCTACGATGAAGGCTGTGATAAAATTAGTAGTGGCCATTTCTGATTTTAGGACAGGCACATCATGAGAGTATACATTTTCATCTTTGCAGATATTAACTTCAAGCTTCTGTTGCCATCTCTGCTTTAGATTTAATGCCTCTAAATTATTACTACTACACATCTTTTTCCAAGATCACAAGAAGCTAGACGGAAAGATTTTTTAAGCACTTTAATGTACTTATCTTCAGGGAAGATATGTACCAGAAATAACGTGTTCAGAGGGAAAAAGGACAACTTTGCTTAGATTTATTTTGCCTAAATCTGAAAGGGGATGGATGATGCCTGCTGTTTGCACAGTGACTAGAACAGGAAGAAAGTGTGCCAAAAGGAGGAAAAGAATGAGACTAAAACAATACAATATTCTCGATGACTAGGAGAGTAACACAAGCCTTTGAAATAAAGCAGCTTCCTCAGTTACAAGAAAGTCATGCTTCTTATAAAAATCATAACCCAAATATATATATACACACACAATTATTTTGACTCTCTATTCAAATATTTCATACTAATAGTCAGTCTTGAGTGCATTTTTAGAAATCAGACTCTCCACCTCCAAAAATGCCAGAAAATACATTTCTGTGTATTCTTTTGCTAAATAATCTAGAATACTAGTGAGTCATATTCTGCTGGAAGTGACAGATCTGAGGAAAAGGGTATACTTTAGTTATACAACAAAGAAAGAGCATTATAAAATCAAGTTACAATTCAGTTATTTCCATTTAACATGTTAAAAAAGAAAAAGAGAAACAGGCATTTCAACATAAAGAGGTATGAACTATTAGACTGTGCCAAAAAAGTTGTTCTAGAGAGATTGGTTGCTAAATAAGTCATAACTCTGTAATTATAAACCATTTGTACACAGGATGAACTGTTATAAATAGCTCTTTTTCCTAATAAGGGTCATCAGAAAGTCACACCACGGATGGTTTTGAGTTATCAAGGAGACCACTCTATGACAACCCTGGAGTCTCACAAAGTCCCATAGCCATCTGTACAAGCTCTGCTTAAATTCTCACAGAGGTTCACAACTACTTAGTGTCATCCTTACATAAGGCAATCTCAGGTCTATTACATTGACAAAAAGGAGATATTTTCATCCAGAGTTTCCCAGGCAAGTGCCTGTAGAAGGGGTTTCATTAACCGTTTTTAATCCGCCCAAGCACCGTCAATTTTAAGCCACACCATTCAATTCTGTACCATAAGGAAGTTACCAATTAATATTTTTCTATCATCATTTTAAAATATGTATTTCAGAGATGTTAGAATTTGAGAAAATGTGCATCTTATAAATCCACCAGGCAAGAACTTTACAAGAAGGAAAGTCCAAGACCAACCACTCACCCTTTTTTATTTAACAGAATAAAAAATTAAGTATTCCCTACAGAGTAGAAAACATGCTGAGTAAAACTTGGGTTTGGTCCCAATTATACTTTAAATCAAAAGAACTACGTGATTTTGAATACTCATCTACTATCATTAAGGCTGACTGTGGATCACAAAACAAAAGAGTTTTAAGATTTTGTTTTACTTAGAATGTCAGACACTTAACCAACTGAGCCACTCAGTTTGCCCCCCCAACATCTGACTCTTGGTTTTGGCTCAGGTCATGATTTCAGGGTCCTGGGATCGAGCACCACGCTGGGCTCAGTGCTCAGTGCAGAGTCTGCTTGTCCCTCTCTCTCCCTCTCTGCTCCTCCTCTGGCTCGCACTCTCTCTCTCTCAAATAAATAAAAATCTTTAAAAAAAGAAATGAGCATAACTGCTTATGTACATTATAAAACATAAAGCACAACTGTGATGTCAGATTTTTATTATTAATGGCATACCTGAAGAATGTAACACTATGTCCATGTCTTGCTGTGGTTGGTTTTACAGTTTTAAAAAATAAAAAAACTTTGTCACTTTGCTAATTAAGCCTGTCCTCAAAAATTATTTGAAGTTATAATTTAGACATTAAATGACTGTTAAATTTAATAGTAAATGTGGAGAATCAAAGTATACTACAGATAATTACCTATTTTACAGACTTCAAATGTTTTATAAGCACATTAAAAATATTTTATGGACATTCTAAAGAGTAGGAATGAGGGTTAATTATCTGTCATAGTTCTAATTCAAGTGCTCAGAATCTGGATTACGTTATTACACTTAAAAAAAAAAATTCAGGTACCACATAAATTTTTTAATGTAGGCTTCCCCCCCCGCTTTTAACCTAATACAGTTTCAACAGTCTTTCCTACTGGAAAAAGACAGCAGTGGTTCCTATTGTATATGCCTTGATTTCTGTTAGAGGTATTTAACTTTTCCTATCCAGAAGAAACTACTCATTTAGACTACTTTAACTACAGGAACTCATCATGTCTGAAAATGGAAGTCAGAAATCTTTTCATTTCAGTCATTTCTGGCAAATGAGAAATAAAGCCAGCTAAATGTTTAGCTCCTACTAGTCCTCCTCTGCAATCGCATGTAGCCTGTGAAGGGAAGCTCTTGCAGTGAGTAATCATTTCAACCAAACCCCAAAGTCAGAAAATCAGATCCTTTGTTCCATTTAAATAGGTCCATCATCCTGTGGTTTATCTTTCCAAATTAAAATGATACTCCAAAGTCAACCAATATCACTAGATATAAAATATAAATTAAGTGAGCTTTACATCATGAGGAGTCAGAAATATAAAAGCATTTTAAGTGACAACACTACTAGCAAATTAAGTTGTGTGAATTTAAGTATTTACTATTAGGTTTTCCTCACTATGATTTCCATAATGTAATGTGTACAAATGTAAACATATAATGCTTTGGATAAAAGTCTACTCTGCTCAACAGTAAAGAAAACTATTTTAAAAATCATTTCTATAATTTCAGAACTAAAAGTGCAACTACAGTATAATAACTGCCTTTATATTCCAAATAAGAAATGCTTTTTCAGAAATTTCTCTGAAGAATGGAAAAAATTATAAAGCAAAGGACAGCAATGACTTTTCAGAGGAATTCCATTTTTGCAGCTTTAAATCATCAACCTGAATAAACAATATAAGGGATGCAAATCCCTCCTCTAACACTGTTTTTAAAAAAAATCATCGCATAATACCCCTGAAACAAATAATACATTATATGTTAATAGAAAAAATCATTGCATAATAATTTGACAAAGAATTAAGTCTTTATCAAGTAGTTCATTTCTGTAGGATACCAATAATCAAATAATAAATTTAATAAATACGTACAGTTCCAGAGAGGACATCATGGGGGCAACAGTTGAGAAGGTGACTCTTGCATACTCTGTCATCACTGAATTTGATTCGTTGACGAGTAGTATCTCCTGTAATATAGAAAAGTTAATAACATTCAAGGTTAGACAACTGGAAAATACTTATTTTCTGAGAGCCCTATCATCTCTAGCTTTTTTTGTGTGGCTACACACACACACATTTATTTATAAATCAGCTCAAGAGGGATTAGTTTTTTATATAATATCCTATAGAAAAACTATTTTAGACATGCAGTTGCAGTATGTGTACTGCAAATGTAATTCAAATAGTCAAAGTGGGAAAGCAATGCATTCTGTTAAACAGAGTACTTCAGAAAAGCATAGGAAATAGAGCAGGAATGGACTTTAAAGATTATCGAGTCCAACTCCTTCGCACTGCAGATGATGAAACTGAGGCCCCAAGAGGTTAAGTGACTTGCAGCAGACCCACTAGGAGAGTTTCTACTGGTACACAATGTTCCCTACTTGACGCTAAGCATAGATTTATTTTGTAATTATTTACATTAATTGAAAAACATAAAAAGTAATCTTGCAAACATTGCATACACACTGCGAATCCCCACTGAACCCCAGACGCCATTTCTTCCACTATTTTGTTCCAGCTGAAGTGTCTCCCTTTTGCTGCTGGGATGAGTTAGAGAGGGTAGAATAGCGTGTTTAAGAGTGTACAAACCTGGAAGAAGGACTTACACACCAGTCAGACAAAGGCACATTGCCTATATGAAACGTTAACTTTAATGCCTCCAAAGGTACCATACCTTCAAATTTTAGGTGGTCTGTGCTACATATGGCCAAACCGGGTATATTTAAATTTATTCTATCTTCATATAACACAGTACACCTCCTAAGCAACAGAAGCATCCAACCTCCTAATCAAATATGCCTATCCAACTCAGACTTTAAAGAGTCTAAGAAAAAGAAAGGTAACTAACTCTAGTAACAAAATACAGATGTTAGTTACAATTTTTTTTGCTTAGCATCTCTTTGGGGAAAAAAAGAAAAAAACTCTTAAGGACATTTTTTCTACATAGAATGATAAGCCCTAAGAAATGTAGGTGTTTTATTCTAGCTTTAAATTGATATCATCATTGATGAATGAAAACCTACTGATGAATTACTGAAGCGAGAACTGTTGGTACCAAAAGAGATTGTAAATACCTCTGCACTTCACATGATGCCTGGGGCACTCCAAAAACTCATCTAGGAAGTGATTCAATTATTTAAATTAATTTCTGTTATTCGCATGTGAATAACAAAAACGTTAAGCCTTTACCCCTTTCACATGGTCTTATTTTGAAGAGCTTAATGCAAAGTCAACTAAATATGTCATTTTTAGGTGGGGTAAGATTTTGTTCAAATTGTTTTAAACTCCATTAAAAAGACTTAAAGAACATTCTCATTTGCAATCAGGGTATATAAAATTTAAGTAATTTATAGCTAAAATGATAGCTTCAGAGCAGTTCAACAATAGGTTTTCTAGAGGCTAGTCTCTAGTTCAAGTAGGTTACTTTGACACCACAATTTGGAATAAATCATTTAGTGTTCACGCCTGCTACTATAATAAAGGTTATTTTGATGTTCCTTTTTTCCTTTTAAACACAACTGCTTTTGTTCCACATTCATTAACACATCTGAAAAGTTAGTGATAACTCACGGCTCGGCGAATGCGGGGCCTTTCTGACACTCCCTTGCAGATTGAAGTAGGCAGGCATAGATACATTGAACCTTTACAAATAAAACAAGGGGCCAGATTGTTCAGTTTGTATAGAATAGACTCTGCCAGCAATTTCAATACAGCATCTAGAAGTACATGTTGACTGTAAAGATTCTTGTATATGAAAACAAAAGTGAACAAAATCAGGGTGTTTTATTTTGCAAAATATTGACTTAACAAGTGTAACCCTACAGAAGAATGAGACTGACCACAGATAGGAAAAGTCCAACGCTAGACCTCTGGGAAATGGTCTGTGGGCCAACTGGGGTTTTAAAAAAAAATGCTTTTTTAAAGACTTTATCTCATTAAGACTTTGGTGAGGGCCTAAGTTCACGTTAGAATGGTATTATGATAAGCTAGCACCAGAAGGGCAATGCTATATATTCAAGTTTTTTGCTTACTGGCATGTAAGAAAAAATGTCTTATTTTTAATCTGTACCCAAATTATGCTAAGAAATTGAATGATGATGTAGTTTTAATTACAAAAAAAGAAGAAAAAAACCCTTACATATCTAGAACTCTTCCCAACTACAATATCTAAGCTTTTTAGCATGCAGCAACAGTATTGTTTCAATGCTACGTCAAACTAATGGCTCAATAATATCATAAACCAGGCCTTAAAATAAAATCAAGGTTCTTAGAAGTTTTACTAATCAAACATTTTGTAAAGTAGGGCGACTGTTTTTGCTTCAGAAATCACAACATTAAGTCTAATATTAAGATACATGTGCCCTGAAGACACAGCTGTTAGGTAAAATATAAATAATGCCAAATACGAATTTAGCAAACATTATCCCCAATGAGCTCTTACAAAAAGCATATTTCTATAAATGCAAAAAAGCATTTTAAAGTAACTTCTCACTGCGTAAGAATGGTTGCTCTATAGACATTTGATAACTGCAAACATAATAAATACAGCTATCAAATATCAGCTTACACATTAGAAAAACCTTTAAGACCATGAAATAATAAAACCCCTAATAATTTCAGATACAGAAATATCCTGAGATGGACTAGCAACTGAGTATCTGTTTATTGGTATTTTTAAAGTTTTACTTAAGAGACTTTAAGGTTAACATCTTAAAATAATTTGGCTACGTTACCATGCAGTATTTAATAAATTTATTTGGGCTTATGCCATGAAACGTATAATTTAGCTAAACCAACAAAGAATTTTAAAATAAAAATACTGGTAATTTTGGTTTCTATCAAGGTATCTGGCCCAAACCATGTTTTTCAAAAGAAACCAGGTAAAACAGCGCCCATTTGAAAAAAAAAGGGGGGGGGGGCAGACTACAATTAACAGAAAACAATTATGAACCAGATCTTTTAATAAAAATTACTTTATGAATTCAAATACTGTATCTTTGGGTTTTCTGGGCATATAGTCATATAAAAATAACCTGAGTTAAAAAAAAAAAAAATTACCCTCTTACACTAACACTGAATCCAAATCATAGAATCAAACCTATTAGTGCACACATCCTCTGTGCTAGTCAATGGGGTTACAAATAGGCATATAATTACAAGCTCTCTACCTTCAAGGAGTCCGTGATGGTGATAGAGAAATAGGACATTTAATTGAAATAACAAGTAATAAAGTAGCATGACCCGAATGCCAAATGGATGTCTCTAACAGTAGTACTTCAGGAATTCTAAGACTAGAATGGCCACCAAGGATGGAGAGGTTAGAAAAGGCTTCATACAAAAAGTAGAAGCCAAAATTTAAAGAAAAGATAGGACTCAGACCACAGGAAAGAAGAACATTTCAAACTGGAGTATTATCTTTGACAAAGCTTATAAAGGCAGAAAGGTTAGGGAATAGTAAATACTCCAAGTCAAATTCGGCTTTGGAAAATGGCTACATGTAGGGGAATAGCAAAGCTGAGGCCAGAACAGTATTTCTTGGTAAAATCTGCTTTCTTTTTTCATTTTTTTCTTCAATCCAGATTTTTAGTGTATAAACAAAGTTTAAAAAGTTTAAAAATAATGGAACAGAGATTAAAACAAGTTATTTGAGTTAACAGCAATACAATGTCCTACCCATAAAAACATGGAGGTTTCTCTGCCCTGTAACCTCTACAATAATTAATTAGGCTTTATACATAACAATCTAAGTTTTTAGAATTAGCAACTTGATTTAGAACTTTGGTAGGCAAAGTGTTCTTCATTTGAATGGAAGCATCAAAATTTCTGTTAATATTTATTACCAAGCAACTAACTTCAAAGTCAAAACTTTTAATTCTCTCTTTGGTTCAACCCCTCCATGAGTTTCATGAATTGTAATTTGTACTTGGCAACACCTGAGTTGCAAGTGTACAATAAAAACTGGAATGCCTATTATTCCTCTCAAAGTTTCTGAGCAAGTTAACAGGGCCTAACATGGTACTGAGGCAGTTTCCCTTGGGGAATACAGATAGGCCACTCTAAAAAGGCAGCTCCTGCCCAGACTGTACTCAAATACTGCTATGCTCAAAATCCCCTTCAATCTGTTGGGAGGGAAAAATAAGCCCACTGTAAATCCCAACACCGCTATTTTATGGTCCTGCCTCTTCTGAAACTGACTTAGACTTAAACTGTAGTAGTAACACTTAAAACTTAAGCCTAGATGGTATCTGACAATTTACATGGTGCATGCTATTTTCCCAATGCCCACCCCTTCCCCCCTCCAGTGCCACCCACCCTCTCCCTCCCATACAAACAATAAATCAAAGAAATTTTCATAGATTTAGGTGCTATTTTAAAAACATCAAAATTTTACTTTACCCATTCTCTCCGATGCTCCCTGTATTTTTTTAAGCTGTGAGTGGATGACCATGCTATGTGATCAACAACTGTGAAGGCTAAGCAAAAGTGAACTGAGTTTAGTATTGTAATTAAAAGAATCTTAAAGTTTGTAATATTTGACATATATAATGGTATGCAGAATCCTTATTTTACTGCATATTATCAGGCATTAAATGGCAAACAATTTATAAAAACAACTAATTAGTATTTCTTTTGTATAGAATTAGCTTAGAGCTTAGCTTAGGGAAAACAGAGAAGAAAACTGAACAGCACACAAAGCAAACGGAAGCAACCCCTAGCTTATAAATGGAGCCAGAAGAGGGAAAGCCCTCCCATATTCTCCAATGTGACAACCAAAGCCCTCCCCACAGGTACACTTGTTAGGGAACAAGTGTCACCACTGGCTTAGGACAGGATAGGCACATTCCCTCTGAAATAAAATCCACACCCCTTCAGTGAAAGGAAAGCAGAGCAAGAAAAAGAGGTGTATAAACAGATAGCTTAAAGTTTCTCATTTCCCTGTGCCTCAGAATCATCAAATGCAGAGAAATGTTTCACTCTCTTATTACCACTTCTTATAATATATCAGCTACTGAGTCCACATAGTAACACAAAAACTATATAAAAAAAACTATATAAAGGCCAATCTCTAGTCTAGTACAGGGCAGGAAGAAACTTGCCCTGTCCCAGGAAACCCTCGTCTTCAGAGGTAAAAGCAGGTGATTCCTGCTGCACAGTGACTGCTACACTGAAAAACCAGTGTGATTACTTTTACATTCTTCTCAAAGTTTCACATCAACTCCACTAACTTGTCCCACCTACCTTTGCTGTTCCTTTAGAATTCAGCCTAAAGCTCATCTATAAGAACTCATTTGTAATTATCCTTTTAAAAAGATATCTATTACTCCATGTAAATGTTAATACACTTAGTTTAATTCACCATATAGTTCAAAGTATAGAATGTTTTGTAAAAGGACTCACTACCACGTCTTAACATATCATGACTATAGGTGCTTTGAAACAGTTAACACGACATGACACATGTCAAACTTTTCAGGAATGTATTTGTTATATAAGGAAAGAAAGAGTACTCAGGCAAAGGTGGCAGTGGGAAAAACCAATTATGGCACTGTCCCTTCCAAATCTAGTCATTTCTATCTAACAGAACCTATAAAGTCATACCATTAAGTAGTAGCAAATTTCTTTTCCCCCAGAAAAATGCAAAAGTAAGGGTACTATATGGTCCAGAAAGGCTATCCCTCCTAATCTTTTCATAGGGTTTATAATTACAAATAGGTACTACTATTATCCCATCAGAACCCCCAAGACAAGCCCAATACTTAAAAACTTAAGATACTGAAAAACCGCAATGCCCATTGTAGAAATTGCTAGAACAAGTTCATTCTTACTGAATATGATCACAGATTAATAATGCTAAAATAACTTTTTAAATCTACCAGCCTACTTGTCTATGAACATCCAACAAAATTATAAGGAACGAGACGGGAACAGCCTTGCTATTAGGTGAAAAAGCTTACAGGATATTTAAGAGCTAACAGAATGGTGATGGAAATGTGAGAACAGGAATACTAAAGTAGCTACATTCCAAGGGCCCTATTCCACCCCTCACCACAACTGTATCTTCTCTCATTACACAAGCATAGAATCTTGGCCACTGGTAGGGGTGGTGGTGGAATCTATGCTTTAGGAAATCTATCAACATGTTTCTCCTTTTAGATTTAAGAAATACATTAGAAATGCCTGAATAAACTGTTACCTAAAAATTAAATTCTAAAAGCAGATTATATAGAATGTGTTTTATGATATATGTCACAAAGGAAAGTCAGTCATTAAAAAGTTGCAGCCTGCTAAATTTTCTATTTTCTATTTTGATAGTTCCTTGCAGAGCTGCAATGCTGATACAGTAACACTTGTACTGGGGCTATCTGCTGTCTTCTATCACCCAGAACTTCCTATACACAAAATCAGAAGTAATGAAAGCTATCTCTGGCTATGAAGAAATAGCGAAAGTGACTGGCTGATTTAGCAAAAAGACAAATTTTCATCGGTTGGCTATAGCTATAAAAGCTAAGCAGAGCCTCCCCAAATCAAAAAACAGTGAAGGAAAGAAACAAGAAAGGAAAAGAAATGAGAATATCAAAGGACAAAAGTGACAGACAACTCAATGATAAAGGAAGTTAAAATGAAAAACAGAGATTGCCAT